ATTTTATGTATTTATTGGGTATTACGAATAAATACATAAAATCTATAAATAACAGTTTTATCCGTAGTGGCTTTATACTACCCAAAAAAAACCTACACATCATATTAGAATTCCAAAAAAAAAAAACTCTACAAATGTACATTCGAAAATAGTAAGTCAAAATGGAAAAAAAATATGCAATATAAAACATTACTATTTTACATTTTAAAAGTCAAAATGAAAATATTCAAATTTCACATTTTTAAGCGATTTTTTTGGATTTTATTCTTTTCTGCCAAGAGGCAATTCCGAATTTGTCTAAATCGTTAAAATCAGACCGGCGGTCTTTATGTTATAACTAACTAACACAACTTTCTTTTACATATAGATTGATAGATTTAAAAGTAGGCGCGTTCCTCAGCCCCTAAATAAGTACTTAGGGTTGGATGGAAAGCCAACAGCATCTCGTGTAATAATTCTCAAACCGATATCTTCACTATTTTGGCAAATATAAAGATTTTAGATAGATCGTAATAGTGGGCGTAAAAGGAGGCGTGGTCAATATTTTTTTCTTTAAAAACCTAACTCGGGGTATGACGAACGTTTGTACAAAAAATTATGCAAATCGGTCCAGCCGCTTGCAACTGATTCCGTTACCAACAAACAACAATTTATTTATTTATATATATATATATATATATATATATATATATATATATATATATATATATATATATATATATATATATATATATATATATATATATATATATGTTTAATTTAGAATTGCATTAAATATTGCTTTTTATTGACCCCTGGTTTGGTCCTTAATTATTCGTTAAAATGTACGCGCCACGGTTTAGTGCAACCTTGTGCTAGCGCCTTTGACATTTTAACGAGTAATTAGTTGTCACTTGTTTTGCCGCCTCCTTTAGACATCACTCGGACAGACAACACCGGCAATATCGTTTGCAGCACATATCGTTGTGCATGGAAGGGCATATTGTTGCTACAGGTAATATTGTTACCCACTAACCAAGCTATCAATAAATAGTTACATATATTAAGAAAAACTCTTGCGTTTTATTTCTTTTTATATTCCCCCCCCCCCCCCCCCCCTACGGTCCACTGCTCGACGCATTCGGCGTTTTACTCCCATCTTTTTGTTTGGTCTGTCCGCTTTAATATTGTTGTTACATTTATTCTCTTTTTCTCGTTGTAACAACAGTCAAATTCATTTTCTGCTTTGTTTGTCGCAAACAAAAACAACACCGTTTGATCATCCACCAACATCACTGCTTGCTTTGTCGTTGTTCTCTGATCACTTGTTGTTTGTGCTTTGTTAGATCAGCGAACGAACATAACAAACGAAGGAAGAATATTTTTGTGTATTCCTCTTTCTGTCGTGTCCGATTAGGTTGAGTAGCTACACTACGTTGGTCGGTCACCTCTATTTGTTATAGTAGTGGGTATTGAGTGTAAAATTATTGTTATTATTAAAGCTAAAATAATATAAATACTATAGTGTATTTACTTTCGAACTTGCTTTCGAACTTTTAGAAATTGAAGCACCCTATATGCGGTCATTTTGGCTAATTAAATAAATAAAAATAAAATTGTTATTTTATTTATTTTTGTATTTTTCCCAAATTGGTTCGGCGTTTCTACATTTAATTATGGCCTTCGCTCCTCTACAAACCTTCTTTAGAGCATTGGACTCTCTAACAAAATTTGATGCACAAATAGGTGCAATAGAAGATAATGATTTAGATATTAGTTTTTTAGAGGAAAGGAAGAGAAAGTTCGAAAAATTATGACAATCGGTATATAAATCATTGCGAAACATAGAAAATTCGGAAAATGTCACTAAGGAATCTCTGCATTTGGCAGAGAGTAAATATAACGACTCCATTAACATTTATACAAATACAATGGGAACAATTAATAGAAAAATTATCAAATATTGGTGCATAACAAGGAATTTAATTAAAATTGCGGATAAAAATCAAGAGCAATCGGCTCAATTACTTTTGGCTCCTGAATCGCAGGATAATATGGCGACAAATATTTCTTCTGGTTGTGATATCGTTCACAATATGGCATTGCCCCCAATTGATATTAATGTTTTTGAGGGAGATTTTTCTTCTTGGCCTTCCTTTCTGGACTTGTTTAGTGCTATTTTTATTAGTAACTCTCGCTTGAGTGATGTGCAGCGACTGTATTACTTGCTGCAAAAGACTGCTGGTGATGCAAGGGAAATAGTTTCGCAATTTCCGTTGACTAATCGTGGTTTCGCTTGGAAAGCATTGAATGATGAGTACGACAATATTCGAATTTTGGTACATCATCAGTTGTCGTCGCTATTTTGTCTTCTGGTTCTCGACAAGGAAACAATCTCTGGTTTGGAAGAGATTAGATGTGCAATTAATCGTTGTATCCTATAACGTTCCCCCAGATCAATGGGATCCGATACTTGTCTTTCTTTGCCTGCAACGCTTACCGGAAGAAACGACAATGCTATGGGAACAAGGTATTAAAAACAAATCGGCTCTTTCTTCATGGAAAGATTTAGACACATTTCTTTCAGAAAGGATAAACACGCTTGTGTGTTTGGAAAGTTATCGAGAGAAATCGATTCCTTCGACTGATCCAAATTCGTTAAATACCGCTAGGAATTCCCACTCCAAATGTTCGTCTCCCCCTTCTATTGGAAAATCGTGTCGTCTTTGTCATAAGAATGCCCATCGCCTTCATTTGTGTTCAAAATTTAAGGAATTGTTTGGTAAAGGGGCATAAACTAGAAAATTGTACTAGTAAAAATCAGCGTTCGAAAATAAACATTATGGTGCAGTACCATAGTGTTCTGTACCGTACCGAGGTGGAGTGGTACACTACGATAGTGTACCGTACCGGAACACAACCCTTAAAAAATATTTTAGTGATACTGTACCGGAGCACAACGATAATCGTACTGTACCGCAGTCGGAGCACTAAAAAACGTAGTGTTCCGCAGTCGGAGCACTACAAAATCGTAGTGTACCACATTGCGGAACATTAAAAAAATAATGTACCGGTAGTGTACCACATGTGTGTTGTTTACGATTTGGGAAAAATTGAATGTTTGATGTTTTTTATAATGTAAATATAAATAATACAATTCAATATTATGAAAATAATTGCTGGATTTATTTTCTTTGCGAAATTGAAGAAAGTATAAAAATATGAGATCAGGTAGAAAGGATAAAAAGGAAAATTAAATTGAAAATTTAAATTCTCCGTGAAAAAGGGTATTTTAGTGGTTGCCACAAGTCTTTATGGATACGCCTGAAATTCGGCCTATTGCGTTATATATGAACCAGTAAAAAGGTTCATTCATTTAAAAACAAAAATTCTACGAATGAATGCAAGAATATGGGTAATAAAAGTTAGTGCCATAAAATTGTATATTTTGGTAAAAGGTCAAGTTTGTTTTATTATCTTAGGTGGGCCGCTAAATGAAATCAATGAATGGTTTTTATGCAGATTATGTACCTGTTACTTTGTGGTACCGAATAATCCGTGAATGTAGGTGCAAAAAATTAAATATTTTTTAAAGTATGGCTGAGGGTTTAAAATCAGTTTTATGATTTAGCCTTAAATAAAACCAAACATTGTACAGGTACCACATCAAAATATGTGCTGATATCCAGAATATAGTTTGCCACAATTTCGCATCGGAGTACAGGTAGTCTTTTATTATTAAGAACAATATTTGTTACAATATATGCAAAAAAGCCGATATCCTGCTGTTTAGTTCTTCTCAAACGTTCAGCAAATAATTACAAAAATGCCGCGACCTAAAAATATTATTCTTTTAGATATGTTCAATACAAATGAATCAAACGAAGTTGTGTGTAATTTGCAAAGTTGTAAGAACAAGATTTTAAGTGTACATTCCGGAAATATAGGAAGACACTTAAAGAGATCACATCCTGAGCAATATGCAAACTATATTGAACAAAAACGTGCAATGAAATTACAAAATTGTGTTAACGAAGTATTACTGCGAAGAAATGTAAATCCGAGGAACATCGAACTAGCAATAGTGGAACTATTCACCAAAAATGGACGTCCTCTGCATATGGCCGAAGATAGGGCCTTCAAAATTCTTATGGAACCAGTTTTAAGTTTGCTCGGAATTATCGCATTTTCCACAAATATTAAAACGGAAATATCTAATGATTTAAAAGGGACATTGTTTTCTCTTAAGATTGATGTAGCAACCAGGTGGGATTTGAGCATGCTCGGTATAAATGTTCAATACATCAAAAATGGTAAAATCATTGTTAAAACATTGGCAGTAAAAGAGCTGAAATCAAGTCATACCGGTGAATATATAAAATCTATTATATTGGAAGTTCTAAGAGAATATGGTGTTGATGTACGCAACATTTTTACCATTACAACCGACAATGGATCTAACATGTTAAAAACGGTAAAAGTGCTGAATTCGGAGTTACAAATGCTTATGGAAGAGGAATCTCAGGATAGCGAAGAAGAAGTTGATTGTGAAATATCGATTTATGAAATTGAGTCAATCGACTTTAATATATCCTCACACCATATTACTAACATTCGTTGTGGTGCCCATACGCTGCAGCTGTGTGTAAATGATGTCCTAAAACAGCCTACAATAAAAGAAAAAACTGAAAACCTAAGACTCGTAGTGAAAAAACTTCGAAGTAAAACGTATATGAGTATTTTTAAAAATGGGCTCCACAAGAAACCTGTAATTGACTGTAAAACAAGATGGAATTCAACATACAATATGATTGAAAGACTGCTGGAAATAAGAGAAGTTGTAACTACATTAAGCAAGGATAATTCGAAATTATTCATTAGTTCTGCTGACTGGTCTTTCGCAAGTGAATTTGTTGGAATATTTAAACCTATTTACACAGCTACAATGAAACTACAAACTGAACAGCTGTGTTATAGCGAACTATATGTTGTAATAATGGATATTACATTCTAAATAGATGCTTTACCAAATACCGAAATGAAAGTGATACTGAAAGAATCATTGAAGACAAGAATGGATAAACTTTTTGATAACGAACTTTTCAACGCAGCCGTGTATTTGGATCCACGTATTAAAGTCTGTATGACAAGCGAACAGAAAACTAGAGCGCAGATGTACATAGTGTCGTTATATAAGCGAATATACTCAAAAGAAGGTACGTTTGCTATATTAATACCAAAAATACATACATATGTTTTTAACTATTACCCTTATTTCTTCAGATTCTACAACAGACAATACGGCCTGCACAATACTGGATGAAACTCCATCAACAAGTAATGCATGCACACCGAAATCCTTTTCCGATTACCTGCAAACTTTAGATCCTACCACGCCTACACAGAGTTCTTCAAACATTGATAATTTTGAATCCGATCTATCCACTTATGAAAGAAAATATAGATTGCCACTAAATGCAAATGTTTTACAATATTGGGACTCTTCAAACATTATTAGTGGCATTGCGAATATTTTACTGGCAATACCATCAACACAAGTAAGCGTGGAACGCTTATTTTCAGCTATGAAATATATGTTATCCGATCAGCGCAATCGATTGTCACCGTTAAATTTGGAGCATATATTAATGGTAAAAGCCAATGGGATTTTTAATTACCAATTGGGATCAGATTAATGTTCTTACTGGTGTACTTATATTTTTAGTTTATTACATTTCCTTTTTTACTTTCTATTTATATTATGTTTATTATATTTAACTTGTTTAATTAATTCAATTTTTATTAAAAAATACATTTAAGTAATAACAATTAAATACTTATAAATAAATCAGTATTAAGTATGTTTCATTGACATATGACAGTACGTTGTTTTATTTCTTCTTTAATTTCCACTTATACAAAGAGTGATACTAATATCGATATAATATAATTTCCACTTATACAAAGAGTGATACTAATATCGAATTTTGTGTAATTTTGCAAGGTTGGATAATCTTTAATTTCTTTTATTATAATCATTTTATTCATTTGCAATGCTACATACTAAAAAATCAAACCTTTAATATTATTTTCCAAATCATAAAAAAGCGTATTGATGCCAGTACATTTTTTTAATGTGGTACACTACGATTTTTTAGTGCTCCGATTGCGGAACACTACGTTTTTTAGTGCTCCGACTCCGGAACACTACGATTTTTTAGTGCTCCGACTGCGGTACACTACGATTTTTTAGTGCTCCGACTGCGGTACAGTACGATTATAGTTGTGTTCCGGTACAGTATCACTAAAATATTTTTTAGTGGTAGTGTACCGGTACACTACCGCTAAAAAATTTTTTAGTGATACTGTACCGGTACAGTACACTATGTTAGTGTACTGTTTATTTTCGAACGTTGGTAAAAATAGATGTTGGAAATGTGGTCAACGTCATCACACGTTACTACATCGCGATTCATTAAAACCGAATAGTGCGTTTCCGGTTCTGACTCCAAAGGCTTCGTCAAGCGCAGCAAAATCGTTGTTGTCAGCTTCAGCCCCCGTTTTTCGTCCCTCGAAATGTACATCCTCCACATCGGTTGGAGCCACAAATAAAAAATCGGATTTGGTTCGTTCAAAATCACTACACCAAATATCGAAAGATAACTTAATTAAATTTATAAAAACAAATTTATTAAATGGAAATCATAAAAAGAAGTTTAAATTTAAGAAGTAAAAAAGCAGTAAGTTCGGCCGGGCCGAACTTTGAATACCCTCCACCATTTGGAACGAATTAGAAAATTTTCAAAAAAATTAAATCCAATAAAAATTCTTTTAAAATCTATAAAATATCTAATATAGGAAGGTGCCGATATATGGGGGGATATACGATATTGTGGACCTATAAAGACAAATCTATGTCTGCGTGTAAAGTACTCACAAGGAACTCCTTGTGTGGATTTTTAGACAATTCCGTTGAAAAATGTGGGTAAAATCATCAAAATACCGAATATCGGGGGTACCGTTACATGGGGGCTATACGATATTGTGGACCTATATATATGATTCTCTGCCGAGGTATAAAGTACCCACAAGGAACTCCTTGTGTGGATTTTTAGACAATTCCGTTGAAAAATGTGGGTAAAATCATCAAAATACCGAATATCGGGGGTACCGTTACATGGGGGCTATACGATATTGTGGACCTATATAGATAATTCTCTGCCTAGGTATAAAGTACCCACAACTAACTCCTTGTGTGGATTTTCAGACAATTCCGTTGAAAAATGTGGATAAAATCATCAAAATACCGAATATCGGGGGGTACCGTTATATGGGGGCTATACGATATTGTGGACCTATATTAATAAGTCTCTGCCGAAGTATAAAGTACCCACAAGGAACTCCTTGTGTGGATATTCAGACAATTCCGTTGAAAAATGTGGATAACATCATCAAAATACCGAATAGCGGGGGGTACCGTTACATGGGGGCTATACGATATCGTGGACCTATATGGACAATTCTCTACCGAGGTATAAAGTACCCACAAGGAACTCCTTGTGTGGATTTTCAGACAATTCCGTTGAAAAATATGGCTAAAATCATCAAAATGCCGAATACCGGGGGGTACCGTTATATGGAGGCTATGCGATATTGTGGACCTATATAGATAATTCTCTGCCGAGGTATAAAGTACCCACAAGGAACTACTTGTGTGGATTTTCAAACAATTCCATTGAAAAATGTGGCTAACATCATCAAAATACCGAATATCGGGGGTACCGTTATATGGGGGCTATACGATATCGTGGACCGATATAGCCCATCTTCGAACTTGACCTGCCTGCAGACAAAAGAGAGATCTGTGCAAAGTTTTAGCTTCCGATCTTAATTCGTTTAGACTGTAGCGTGATTACAACAGACGGACATACGGACGGACAGTGCTAAATCGTCTTAGAATTTTACGCTGATCAAGAATATATATACTTTGTTGGGTCTAAAATGATTATTTCGATGAGTTACAAACGGAATGACGAACTTAATATACCCTCCATACCTTTTTTGGTGGAGGGTATAAAACAATGCTGTAAAACGTCCTTCACGTAAAATCGGTCCCTCGACAGCTGCCGGTTTATATATCGACATTGGCACAGGGTCTCAATTGGAACCCCCCTCGAATATCGTTTCGGGAAACACGTAGCTCGATTGAAGTCCGAATCTGTAACTGCAGGTTCATCTGCGGCTTCAAAATATTACATTTCGTGTACTAATATAGCTTGATTGAAGTCCGAATATGTTACTGCATATTCATCTGCGGGTTCATATTACCGTTGTAGCGGAGATGGATCCCGAATTTGTTCCTGCAGATTCATTTGCGTTTCCATTCCCTACATTTTGTTCGCAAAAAAGCTCACACTGCACTATGCATTCAGTACCTACCATCGGAACTAAATTAGATTAAGTTTATTGTGTTGAAACATGCTTTGATGTTTCAAGGGGGTCGGCATGTTTAATTTAGAATTGCATTAAATATTGTTTTTTTATTGACCCCTGGTTTGGTCCTTAATTATTCGTTAAAATTTACGCGCTACGGTTTATTGCAACCTTGTGCTAGCGCCTTTGACGTTCTAACGAGTAATTAGTTGTCACTTGTTTTGCCGCCTCCTTTAGACATCACTCGGACAGACAACACCGGCAATATCGTTTGCAGCACATATCGTTGTGCATGGAAGGGCATATTGTTGCTACAGGTAATATTGTTACCCTCTAACCAAACTAAGAATAAATAGTTACATATATTAAGAAAAACTCTTGTGTTTTATTTCTTTTTATTTTTCCCCCCTACGGTCCACTGTTCGACGCATTCGGCGTTTTACTCCCATCGGCGGAGCCCCTCTGATCTAAACATTTGTGGTCCTTCGAGCCGGAGCATAGATTAAAAACTAGCGTTAAACTTTACGAGAGCATCCGAAGCTCTGATAAACATATCAATTGGAGTCAAAGGCATTTTGAAAGTTTTTTACCAAGTCTCTATTGCAATAAGTAAGAGAAAAACAACTGAAGCACAATTTGCTATAAAAAATAGCCAAAAACCAATTCTACTTCGCACAATATAAAATAAATAAAAACACACAATAGTGGGGTTAGTTTTATAATATAAAATAAGGCAAAAGCCAGGCTTTATTAATAATAAATAAATAGGGTTTGGTAAACAATATTACCTTTTTGCACAATAGCGGGGAGAGCCTTCGTTCGTATCGACGCGATAGAAGAAGAGAGTGTTTAACAACAAAACAACGATCCCAACATAAAGTAAGTCGGCGTTGGCGCCATTCGCCACTCGTTGAAATCTGTTGACATTGACAGATTTCAACGATGTTAATCATTTACAAATAATTAGATGTTAACCCATTGTTAACGTTGCAAAACAATAATTTTCAATCTAAATTAAACATGCCGCACACCTTGCAACATATTGGGATGTTGTACGTTTGCTATATTAATACCAAAAATACATACATATGTTTTTAACTATTACCCTTATTTCTTCAGATTCTACAACAGACAATACGGCCTGCACAATACTGGATGAAACTCCATCAACAAGTAATGCATGCACACCGAAATCCTTTTCCGATTACCTGCAAACTTTAGATCCTACCACGCCTACACAGAGTTCTTCAAACATTGATAATTTTGAATCCGATCTATCCACTTATGAAAGAAAATCTAGATTGCCACTAAATGCAAATGTTTTACAATATTGGGACTCTTCAAACATTATTAGTGGCATTGCGAATATTTTACTGGCAATACCATCAACACAAGTAAGCGTGGAACGCTTATTTTCAGCTATGAAATATATGTTATCCGATCAGCGCAATCGATTGTCACCGTTAAATTTGGAGCATATATTAATGGTAAAAGCCAATGGGATTTTTAATTACCAATTGGGATCAGATTAATGTTCTTACTGGTGTACTTATATTTTTAGTTTATTACATTTCCTTTTTTACTTTCTATTTATATTATGTTTATTATATTTAACTTGTTTAATTAATTCAATTTTTATTAAAAAATACATTTAAGTAATAACAATTAAATACTTATAAATAAATCAGTATTAAGTATGTTTCATTGACATATGACAGTACGTTGTTTTATTTCTTCTTTAATTTCCACTTATACAAAGAGTGATACTAATATCGATATAATATAATTTCCACTTATACAAAGAGTGATACTAATATCGAATTTTGTGTAATTTTGCAAGGTTGGATAATCTTTAATTTCTTTTATTATAATCATTTTATTCATTTGCAATGCTACATACTAAAAAAACAAACCTTTAATATTATTTTCCAAATCATAAAAAAGCGTATTGATGCCAGTACATTTTTTTAATGTGGTACACTACGATTTTTTAGTGCTCCGATTGCGGAACACTACGTTTTTTAGTGCTCCGACTCCGGAACACTACGATTTTTTAGTGCTCCGACTGCGGTACAGTACGATTATCGTTGTGTTCCGGTACAGTATCACTAAAATATTTTTTAGTGGTAGTGTACCGGTACACTACCGCTAAAAAATTTTTTAGTGATACTGTACCGGTACAGTACACTATGTTAGTGTACTGTTTATTTTCGAACGCTGGTAAAATAGATGTTGGAAATGTGGTCAACGTCATCACACGTTACTACATCGCGATTCATTAAAACCGAATAGTGCGTTTCCGGTTCTGACTCCAAAGGCTTCGTCAAGCGCAGCAAAATCGTTGTTGTCAGCTTCAGCCCCCGTTTTTCGTCCCTCGAAATGTACATCCTCCACATCGGTTGGAGCC